TTTTTGATTTTTTTAATAATTTTTTGATATTTATTTTGATTTTTGGTATTTTTTGTAATAAAATTGAGAATTTAGTAATAAATAATATGTTTAGTGTTTTGTGAAATTTTTTTTGTTATGAACTTTGATTGATGATAAAGTATTGTTTAAAATTTTATTGTAAATGGATATCATTTGTGTTCCTGTTTTGGATTCAGAAATTTTAGCTTTAAAAATCTTTATTCATTGAATTAGTTTGAAATTAAATTTTTATTTTTGTTTTATTTGTTATATTTCTTCAAATTTATCCTGTCTTTAATTTGTTTATTACATTGTTAAGTTGGTTTGGTTAATTGATTGATTTGTTTATTTTTTAAATAATTTGAGATTTGTTATAGGAGAAATTAGAATGGAGGACCTAAAGAGAATAATATTTTTACAAAAATTTACTTCTTTACGTATGTGTTTTAATTTGTTTTTACAAAAACCTAAATTTTATATACAAATCTATTTTTATTTTTTTCTATAACTTTAAATTAGAAACAAGTGTTTGAAAAGAAATCATATTAAATTAATTTAATGTTTTTATAAAACTTTATGCATGTTGAAATATGTTATGAGGAATAGTTTTAATTTTGATTAAAATAATTTGTATTTAACTATTTTACAAAACTTATATATGTTTGTTTGATTTTATATTTTTATCAACATTTTCGCTTATTTCTTATATATACCAATTTTTCTTTAGAAATTACTTAATCTAATTTTTAAAAATAATTATATATTTTATTTTTTATTATAATATATTTAATAAGACAAACAGGGCTGAGAAAAAAAATAGAGCTAAAGAATTTGTCATCATCTTATTGGTTGAAGAAAATTTTATTTTTGATTAAAAATTTTGAGTGCATTTTGTTTCTAATTTGGTGTTTGTATATTAAATTTTTTATTTATTGTCCTTTTAAATAATTATAATTTTTAAGATTCTTTATAATAAATATAACTTTTTCTTGGTCTTTCACTCTAATTTTCCCTTTGTTATATATTTAAGGAAAAATTCTGTCGAATTTTTTATTTTTAAAAAAGAGACATTCCTTTTAATTTGTAATTGAGTGTTAGTCAATTTTAATTTCTTGACTAATATTTTATTATTTTATTATTTCAATATTTGAATTATAGAGTTAGAATTGAGCTTGACAACTATGCTCATTGACTCTATAGAACAATGGATCGTAGTTGGATGAAAGCTAAGAGAATTAGCAAAGAATATGAGAATGGGGTTGAAAGGTTTCTTGAGTTTGTTAAGAGAAATGCCCTTAGTAAAAGAGATGGATTGTACTATTGTTCTTGTGTCAAATGCTTAAACAATAGTCGGTGGAGTATTTCTGAGATAAAAGAGCATTTTATCTTTGATGGGATAAATTTGAGGTATACAAATTAGACATGGCATGGAGAAATTAGAAAGACTACACTATATGAAAAGGAGAAGGTTGTGAATGAAGACTTTGGTGATAGAATTTTGGATATGTTTCATGACATAAAGTCTGAATCATTTACACAGTTCTCTTTCACTTTTGAAACTTTGTGTAGTAATGCAGAGACGCCCTTATACCTAGGGTGTAAAAATGATTACACAAGGTTGACAACCGTGTTGAAATTGATGAATTTAAAAGCAAGAAATGGTTGGATCGATGCTTGAACTACTGAGTGATATTCTTCCAAAAGTGAATTCACTTCCAAAATGAATGTATGAGGCAAAGAAAATTTTGTGTTTGATGGGTCTAGAATATGAGAAGATACATGCATGCCCTAATGATTGTATATTGTTTAGAAATGAGTATGAATGGTTGAATAAGTGCCCTAAATATGAGACTTCAAGATACAAAGTTAAGAAAGATGATGGTGATTATAATGAGATGACCAAAGGTTCTCCTTTGAAGGTTCTGTGGTATCTTTCAATAATACCACGATTTAAGCATCTATTTGCTAATAGAAGCAAAGAACTTGAGATGGCATTCCGATGAGAAAATATGTGATGGAAAGCTTCATAACCTAGCAGATTCTCCTCAATGGAAAATAATAGATCAAAAATTTTCTCAATTAGATAGTGAGTCAAGAAACCTTCGGTTAGGGCTTTGTACGGACAAAATTAATCCATATGGTAATCTTAGTAGTGCACACAGTGCTTGGCCGGTGCTCCTCATAATTTACAACTTGCCTCCTTGGTTATATATGAAAAAAAAGGATATCACGCTATCTCTGATGATCTTAGGGCCAAAACAATCGGGAAACAATATTGATAGGGAAAAAGATAGAAAAATGCCAAGTTAACTCTAAAATCCTAGAAACGTCCGGCCAATTTGAGAAATCCCGTTTTGGTCTCATATTACCAAATTGGGATTATTTTGTTAAACGAAAAGACCAAACTGCCATTCGTATTATTTGAAACAAAAGCAAGGGGAGATAGGTGTGGTTAAAGTTAGGAACACTTGGTTGAGACGGACGGCGCGAAGAAGAACAGAAAAGAGAGGAGAAGGGAGCAGAGGAGGAAGCTGTCGCCGTGGAAGAAGAGAGAAGAGAAGAAGGAAGGGTGCTTCGTGGTGCTGTGGTCACCGTGGAAGAAGAGAGAAGAGAGAAGAGGAGTTACACTGAGACAGAGGTAAGTTTGTCTAACATTCCGTCAGTGTGTTTGTTAATGGACAGTGGGTGAATGTCATATTTCTTCTTTCTTGGTTTTCTAGATTGTTGCTTGTTTTATTTTACCTTCTCTGTTGTGTTGTACGCGTGGATTGGAAAATTGTTAGTTTTCTTCCAATAGCTTTTTTATTTGAGTTTTATGAAGGTGTAGCGAACATGTGGAGTTGGATTGTAGCCGTAATGTATCAAGTTTGGGACTGTGATTTTAAGAGGAATATCTTTGAGCTCGTTAATTTGAATGCACTCTGAGTGTTTGATAAAATGTTTGCAATGAGAATTTAAAGTTAATAGATATGATTAATGTAGTATAGACCAAATTATGAGACTATGGAAGTCTTGAGAAACCATTTATGTTGATTGGAGAATGGTGATTAATGCCTGAACAACGATGATCATAATTATAAGATGTGCAAGTCTTGAGAAACCACTTGTGTTGACTAGAGAATTACAACTAGTGCTTGAACATTGATGATCATTTTTGGTGACCGTCATTAAACGGCGACATAAAAAAGCTGTTTCTATAGTAATGACTTAATTATTATTGGGAGAATATCAAGAATGTTGATTTCAGAAAAAATTGATAAACATGTGAAATAAGTCTTGCATAAGAAATCAACATCAACTCCCCAATTAGGTCCTACATTAAAAATTGGAGTAGTAGATACACAATTTAAAGTATGGATTAGGTCTGACATTCTTCACAAGTAGAAGGAGGGGCCTCCACAACACTCCACTAATCCTAAATCAAGCAGTAGGTTTCACTACAACTCTAATCACTTCTACATGTTCCATCTAATCCTTCATGTAGGAACTAATTGAGAAGTTAACGTTAGTCTTAAATATAAGGGTTAAAGTGTACATTTGGTTCTTTAAGTCTATATGAAATAATTTCAGTTTTGTCCTTTAACTTTAATATGCATATTTTAGTCCCTTAAACTTAACATTGTTAACTTCGTTAGTAAAAATTGTTGACTCATCGATTTTAAAATGATAACTCAGCATTTAAATGATAACATATTAATTTTTAATTTAAACTATGTAAATTAAAAAGTATTTAAGATAAAACTTAATTACAGGTGCTGTCAAACATAATTTTTTTCCTGTGACCGAATTTTCTAACATGATTCTATAGGATTTACCTTTCAATTTTCATAAAAATAATAATTTAAAACATATTTTAAATTGTAGCTTTTTAATTTTTATTCTATTCTTTCTAAATTATGCTATCGAAAATAGTATAAGAGTTAATAATAGAATCAATCCTTAAGGTAATTAAAATTTTTTTAATGTCTTAATATAAGTTTTTAAGATTAGTTAGATAATGTTTTGGGTTAATACCATTTCTAGTTCTTGAAATTTGACCTCATTTTGGTTTTGATTATTAAAGTTTGAAACCGCTTGTTTTAATCCTTAAAATTTGATTTCATTTTAATTTTAGTTCCTAAAATTTTAACCCAGTGGTTTTGGTCTTTAAACTTTGACTTCATGTTGTTTTGGCTTTAGATTTTTGGTGTGTAAAACAAGGATAAAAACCTAAATGATATTAAATTTGAAGGACCAAAACCAAAATGATATCAAATTTCAGGTAGCAAAATTTTAGGGGTCAAAACTAAAATGAGGTCAAATTTTAATGACTAAAGATAATATTAACTCTAATGTTTTCAATGACAAAAGCGAGAAAAATGGTCTATTTCATAATTATGTAAAGCTGCATAAAAATCGCTGATAAAAATGAGGTTTTATTTTAAATATTTCTTAATTGGCAATCTTTGAATCAAAAATTGATATGCCAATATTTAAATACGAATTCAACATTTTTGTTAATGTGATTAACATTGTTAAATTCAAGAAACTAAAAATATATTTTTTTAAATTTAAGGGACTAAATTGAAACTTAGAGTCAAACATATGCTTTAGCATTTTTCATCTTTCAACAACTTATTAGTCAAAGGTTGGGGGAAAACAAAATCAGAACGCAAAATATGCGTATTCCAATCAACCGTCCAATTAGAATTGAAGTTTGAAACCTAACGGGCACGTCAAGCCAAAGCATGAAAAATACTTTGAAAGTTTTAAAAGGAACCGATAAATGCCAATGCTTTGTTTGAATTCAAAAATGTTTGAACCGTAAAATACGATATAACCCTCAATTTCTTTCCTTCAAATTATACTTCTTATTTAGACTATCTATATATAAAACGCTAAATCATTCATTTCTGCGTAATAGGGCATGACCAATATCATTTGGTAAATATGGCCAAGAAAATTTTCTTAACTTTGCTTGCAATATTGCTTGCTTATATTTCAGAAGCACAAGGAAGAAAATCTCTGTCCTTATTGAATGGTAAAGATGAAATGCCTTCATTTTTCAGAAGTGATAGTAGTGATGGCATCTGCAAATCAATGGTGGAGACACAAGGCTACAAATGTGAAGAACATAAGGTATGTCATTAGTATATTGCCATTATTAGAGCTTTTTTGATCATGCATACCTGAGAAGAATTGAAAAAAAAAATGAAATATTAATATCCAAATCCTTATAATTTCAGCTCATTTTTAATGAAAGTCATTATATATATTTTTCCTTTTATTGAGTCATTATAGTTCTCAATTATGTGTATTGGTTTGTTAATTTATAAGATAAATGGGGTAAGCGGCTGATGCCCAGCATACATCTGATTAATTTTGCCATATGGGTCTAGATAAAATCAAAATCATCAACCAATTATAGATTAAATACATATACAAAGATGGTTTTCTTTCTAAGATTGTGCAAAATTGCAAGTTTGTTTTGAAAAAGGAAAATATTTAGGTAAGTTCACTTAATTGATGTTTACAATCATCAAATTTCTGAATAAAAACATAACATATTTTTTTAAGTGCATTATACAGACTTTCATTAAGGTTTACTAATATTTGGCCAAAAAAAAAAAATAAGGTTTACAAATATACCGCTCATTTATTTCCAAAGTCGTGGCGAAAAAAATTCTTTTCAAAGTCAATAAAAACCTTTCTTGACTTTAACTAAAATACGCAAACCTTCCATATATTTATTGACCTACATAAATCACTCTTAGAAAAACAAAAGAAAATTGCACAAACCTCCCTTAAATTTTATTAAATTAAGCCACGCACATAGATTTCCCCCTAGTTGAAAAGAAAATACTCAAGCAGATTTTATAATTAATTGAGGAATTTATTCATTTTTTAAACATCTAATCATGTATTCAGAAATGTAAAACATGTTTATCACAATAGTTTTAAATCAAATAGCTAATAAGTATCCAAAAGTCTCACTTAAGTTTTCTTCTTTTATCAAAATCTCTTGTCTAATTAAGGCGAATCATGCTTTTAGAACAGAAAATGTTGTAGATTAATGTGCATATTTAATAAGAATATTTTAAAAAAGACAATACTCATTTATTATAAATTACTAATTTAACTAATTTTCTTAATATCTGCAAATTAGTTATCTAACTATTACATTAGTATTGTTTATGAAGCTAATATTGGCAATATGTGAACATGAATTGGGGGATTTCAGGTTACAACAAAGGATGGTTTCATTCTAAGCCTTCAGAGGATGCCAGCGAGGCGATCTGGTAATTCAGCGGATAAGCCTCCTGTTCTGCTGCAACATGGTATCTTAAGTGTATGTTCTTTCTAAACAAAATCTCATGTATTTAGTTATATGACACACTGCCTTTGATTCTAAATGTAGAAGTTATATAAGTGGATTAGTTTGGTTCTAAATATAAAACTTCAATCTACTTTATCTTTTAAACTCGTAATTTCTTCCAAATTATACTTATTAATTACACATATTAAGGTTTTTTTTTTGTGAAATTAAGGGATTTTCTACTAAAGAATAACAATAATGTAAATAATTAGAAAAGGTATTTTAAAAAAATTAATATCCTTTCTTACATTTAGGACCGAAAAGGAGTTACCACCAACTAATTAAGATTCAAGTATTATTGGCCAGTGTAAGAGTAGCTCTCTCACGTACGTGGCTTTTTCATCTATGAGGCTCAAACCATCACCTTGCTATAAAAATATGGGATAATTACAATCAAGTCTCAAAAAATTATTAAAAAATCTCAATAACAACCTAAACAGTATGTAATGACAAGTTTTAAAGTAAAAAATGATAATTTTCTTGGACTTACTTCATAATTATTTCCCTTCCTTTGGATCTAATTGCAATTCTGCCTAAGAATATTGAGTCTTTGTTCTAATTTTGTGGTCTAATTTTCAGGATGCTGTAATATGGCTATTCAATTCTCCTGAAGAATCCCTCGGATTTATATTAGCCGACAATGGATATGATGTGTGGCTTGCTAATACTCGCGGCACTAGATATAGCAGTGGCCATACGTCTCTCACTCCTAATGACAAGGTACTTTTGATTTAAATATTTAGGAACATTAATTTTTTTGCCAGCTTTATAGGAACATTAATATGCAATTAAGTTGCTATAATTTCACCTCATTATTAATTAAAATCTTTGCAGTTTTTCTTTGTTATTTTTATGTTGTTATAATTTAGTCAAATATTAATATTGATTCATATACTCATAATTTGTTATAAGAAGATGACATTAACAACTTATTATATGGCTCTCACTCAGCATACACCTAGTTTAATTTTGTAACATATATCTAAATAAAATAAAAATTATATAGATGTAATCAAACGATTATGAAGGATGCAATTCTTTTTATTTTTATGCTGATAATAAATAATTTTATTTTTTTAAGAAACTTTTTTTATTTTGGATTTCATGACACCTTACACTTGTTGCTTAGTTACCATCCATATCGGTCATTATTAACATATTATGAGCATAGAGATTGATGACTACAAGAGAGGAAATTTTAAGGAGCCAACAAAAAAAAAACAAAAGTATTAGGTCTAATTAAAAAAATAGATGAAATTATAAACATCGACAATTCCATCTTTCATATATATATATATATATGTATGTATGTATATTATCATCATTTCTCGTTGGTGCTTTTATTCATTTTTAATTTTATATTCTAAAAAAAATTAGGCTTATTGGGATTGGTCATGGGATGAATTGGTCTCTTATGATCTTCATGCCTGTGTTGGATATGTGTACAACCATACCGGCCAAAAGCTGCACTATGCCGGCCATTCCTTGGTGAGTATCTCATACTTTGAGTTTATTTATTGAAACTATAAGCCGTAAAATTTGAGCAAATTGCACAAGGTGTCTAGTTGCAATGAAATTTAAATAATAATTAAAATTATATTTATATGGTCCAATTTTGAAACTTCAAATTTATAATTTCTTTTAAAATAAGATAAAGTATAGCTTTCATCTTCTAATTGTATACAACTTTTCAGTTTGACCTCTTAATTTTATAGTGTCGTTTAGTTCTTTGATACCAACACTATTAGTCTCAAATGATTTTTTTTTTTTGCTAATCACTATTAAACTGAATATATCAGTATTTGAGAATATTTTGTCAATATCTGAAATTTTAATATCAATACTTTTCGTTAATGGTATTAGGATTATTTAGAAGAGGGAAAAGACGCCTTATAAACAGATCAAAATGAATGTGGTGTCACCCTTTTGCTGTTAAAATATTCAATTCGTTTTCCATAGAATGCAATTATAAAAAAATTATCTTTATTCTAATTCTTTTTAAAATAAGAAATATACAGATTAATTATTCAACTTTTTAACATGGAAGGCTCAAATTTGGCATGAAACTTAATATATCCATTTAGAAGTTATGAACAAGGCCGCTTACTTACTAATTACTGTGTGTATATATATATATATATATCTGCATATTGAATATAAATTGAAAATTCAGGGGACATTAACAGCATTAGCTGCATTCTCTGAAGAGGAGCTGGTGAATATGATCAGATCTGCTGCTTTACTTAGTCCAATTGCTCATCTCAATCAGATTCCCTCACCACCCATCAAACTTGCTGCTGATATCTTTCTGGCTGATGTAACACACTTCATTCCCAGAATTTTATTATTTTATCTTTTTTGGACTATACGATTTTATATACACACATATTATTTGTCCTTAATATAAGAGCTATTTAACTAATTTAAGTAGATTAAGAAAATAAAATAAGTTATTTATTATTTGTAACATATATGAGTTTATTTTTCTAAAATACTCTTTTTAATCATGACTACTCTTGTATAATAGCCTCTTGGCATTTGTAATCAATATGGATATTTTAGATAATAAATTACAAACTTGAAGAACAAAGTCAATTAAGGTCTTATATTTAAGATTAAATTCAATCTCCAACCAGCTCTTGTATTAAGAACTAGAGGACATTATATATATAATGCGATTTAGCACTTGACTCGTGTTTCTTATTCTCTGTATTCCAGGTTCTGTACTGGTTAGGCCTTCGCGAGTTTATTCCAAAAAGGTAAATGAATTATTTTTTCACAAAAAGATTAAATTGTTTAACTTTATTACTGATTATTTATGTAGCATCTCATTTATGACTTACTGAGTTTTATTTTATCATCTTCTCTCAACTGTTTAAAGGACTTATTTAGGCATTTCTATCAAAATACTATAAACACTAAAAATAATTCCCTAATGATGAGAAATATTTTCTAATATACTGCATTTTTTAGAACTTCTTCAGGCTGTGATGACCTTCCCGTCTTACATCTATTTTTTTAAAAGCAAAAAAATGGAATCCGTTCCGGCTATGAACGAATTTAAGCCCCTTCCTTTTCATTTTTGATGAAAATTACAACTAAATACTCCATTTCATATGCTTTCTATATCATATAGATACTCATCATTATTATGCATAGTATTGTGTTTGAACTTCTAGCTAACATCATCAGCACATTATCTATTGATGAACAGACAAGATGCTACCAAACTTTTAGAAAAGATCTGCAAAATTCCGGATATCAACTGCTCAGACCTAATGACAGTCTTCACAGGTGCTGTAATGGAAAATTTCTATGAAGCCATAAGAAATAGATTTAATTACCCAAAAATCTTAATGATAAAAATGAACAACAAAATTTGTTATCATTTTTCACACTAGAACTTAAATATGTTCTTCAGCTGATATTAAACTTTTGGTTGATTATCCATTCTCTAAAGACTTATACCAATTCCTCCTGATATAGAATGTCATCATCTTTTTTTTATTTTTTAAATTTGGAATTAAAGTGTCACTTAAGTTTTGTTTTTGGTAATTCTATATCACTCCCAATGAATTTCAGGCCCAAACTGCTGCATTAATTCTACGAGGATAGATGTTTATCTAGATCATGAGCCTCAGCCAACATCAACCAAGAACTTGATCCATCTTGCTCAAAGTAAGCCTGTTCATTTTATAAATGCAAGATAATTAAATTGAATATCCCATATTATCAAGATTGAATACAACTACTAGTCAACAAGTATTATAACTAGTCCTAGATTAAATTGGTTAAAAGGAGATCCAAAAATGAATTAGTCAAACTGATAAAAAGACAGAAAATTCAGTTCAAATTTTGTTTTATTGTCTTCTTGTTTGTGCAAAATAGCATCATCCTTGAGATATTTTTATTCTTTCTATATTTTAATATTGTATTGGCACTATTCTTGCTCATAATTATTCATAATTATAGATTTACTCGGTGAAGGGCTTATTAATTAGTTGTATATTTTAAGTTCAATCGGTGATTATGATAAATCTTATTTGAATTTCAATATTAAGTTACAAATTCATTAGTAATAGTGTTTTAAGTTTTCTAAATGATATAACTTAATATATAAAATTAAAACTATATAATTAATTAAAAAAATTATTTTTCTTAAAAGAACGCCTTTTTTTGTGTTTGGAGGTAAGTTGGAAAACGTTTCTCTGGCCATAAGAAGAAAACATAAATATATTTTAAATTATAGGATAACTTAGTTATTTATTGTATTTGCTTGCTATATCAGAATGTAATAAAGTTGAAATATGATCAGAAAGCATTAATTTTCTTGTAAATTGTTTTTTTATTTTTTATTTTTGTATGAAACTTGTATGTTTTATACGCGTGTTGGGATTTTGTGCAGTGGTTAGAAAAGGAACATAGCGATGTTTGACTACGGAGATCAAGCACAAAACATGCAACACTATGGACAAGCCAGTCCTCCTGTGTACGACATGACCAGTATTCCAAACGACCTTCCTCTTTTTCTCAGCAATGGAGGGAAAGATACCCTGGCAGATGTAAACGACGTTGCCGTTTTGCTTGACAATCTCAAAGATCATGACAAGGACAAGCTTAGGGTGCTTTTCATACAAGACTATGCTCATGTTGATTTTGTCATGGGTGTCACTGCCAATCAAGTTGTTTATCAGCCCATGATGGACTTTTTCAAGCAATATAATTAATTAACATCCCATTTCTGCTTTTTTAAAAACTTTTTTTCTTAATTTTATTTCTGTTGGATGTAAAGAAAAAGAATTATGGGTACTCATCAAGTTTGTAAAACTTATAGGAGCTTTCCTTCTTTGGGCAAATCTCTCCCTTCCTTTCTCTCCTCTTCATTTTTATAGCCATAAAATTAGCATTTAATGGTTTGAACTTGGTTTTATACAAAATATTTTTTTAGTTTCTTTATCGCAAAACTAACTAATTAGTTTTGTTTATAATTAAATATTTTGATAATAAATTTAAATTCTCTTTTGGAGCATGAGCAAGTGCTTGCTGCTTCAATTCCTAACTTTGTAGGTGGAGTGAATTAAAACATCTGCCATTTGCCATTCATATCTTGACAAAAAAGATTAATTAATCTCGAATAGAGAATATTTATATAAATTAAAAAATAAATGATATGGCATGCAAGGTATTGAAATGTTGTTATTATAATGCCTCAAGTGTTTAAGAGATTTGAAAAGAATAATTAAACTTGAGACGAAAGATCAGAATAAAAGCTGGTGAAATAAATACGGCAGTGAGAAATAGTAAGCTTTGAAAACCTAAATAGGGAAGTGAAAAATTAGCAACGGAGGCTCAAGTGCGCAAAATAATTTTGCTAAGAACATTAGAACTAAGATAGCTCGAAGGAAAGTTGCGGATGTTGAGATTTATCCCTAAAGAGAGTAGTTAATCATTATAACTATAGATCATTTCGACAAGTTACTGATTTTATTACTATTCAATATTCCAATAGATATATTTTAAGGTTTGATATGTACCATGAGCCTCACGCTTAGGTTCCTTGATTGCTTTTCACCACAATATTTTGTACTACCTCCAATCCTAATTATAAGAGTCAGTTGACTAATTTGAAAAGATTAAAAAAGTAAGTTGAGTTAGTTATTTGTCCTAAATAGGTGTTGTTTTTTCTAAAATATCCTTATTAATCAAGTATATTAACTAGAACTGTAATTATTAGACGAATTATCTTGAAAAAAATTGAGTAAATATGATAGACAATGTAGATTGGGGTCTTATATTTAGGATCAAAATAAAAGTCAAACAGGGTTTTATATAAGTACCGGAGGGGGTAGTATGTTTTTCCCTCCAAAGAAGGCAGAAACATACACTTGGTTTTTAAATTTTATACTCCAATTTAGTCTCTTAACTTAAAAGAAATATTTTTAGTTCTTTAACCTTAAAATTATTAATGTTAAATGATGATGTTTGATATCAAAAATTAAACTTAATATAGTAGTATTTGAGAATATTTTCTTAACAATCAAAATCTCAATTTTAACGTTTTTTTCTTGCCCCAGACAAATAATAGAAATCTAATGCTGAATTTTTTTTAAACATCCATATAGCTGAAGAAAGAGAAAGAAAGAGATTTACAGCAGAAATAAAGCTTAAACTCTCAGAAATAAGCTGCTGGGAAGGAAAAGAACTAAGCAAACACTCTAAGAAAATTCATGGACACATTACACTCTCTTGGCATAATGGAAAATGATGAAGAAAAATGAACTTCCTCTACCCCCAACTTGGTATTCGAGAGGCCAGGGCTTCCCAACTAAACCACAATCTTCTGGGAAAATTACACTCAGGTCCCACAGAGTACACTTAATATCAAAAAGGTCCCACGAAATCACGAAATGATTCTGAAGTCCCCAGGGACCTGTGTGTAATTAATTCTAATTGTGAAATTACCTACTTACCCCTGTTAATTTTATTGCAACAATTCGTTTACAATCTCAACAGTGGCTGTTAACAACCCGAGAAGACGTGATTGACAACCTCGGCAGTGCTTATGACAACTCACTCTGTGGAATGCCAGGGGCGTTGTTGAGGTTGTTAACCACCTCTTCTCGGGTTGTTAACAGCCACTGTTGATGTGTAAATAGGTTCTAATTTTATTTACAATCTCAACAGTGTGTTAACAACCCGAGAAGACGTGATTGACAACCTCGGCAGTGCTCATGACAACTTACTGTGTGGAATACCAGGGCGTTGTTGAGGACCACCTCTTTTCTCGGGTTGTTAACAGCCACTGTTGAGGTTGTAAATAGGTTCAAATTAACAGGGGGTAAGTAGGTAATTTCACAATTAGAATTAATTACACACAGGTCCCTGGGACTTCAGAATCATTTCGCGATTTTAAGGGACCTTTTTGATATTAATTGTGTTCTGTGGGACTTGAGTGTAATTTTCCCAATCTTCTTTAACCCACGATAAGCCCCTCTAACAAAGTATATACATCATTGAGATTCTCTCTTCCCCTCTCTCTTGCAGAAGCCCAACACACTTCTCACTTAGGCTAGGCCCATTAAATGTGGACCTATTAGTCATGGGTCCATCAAAATTTTAAAGTTAAAGGATAAAATTAAAAACTTTGTATAAAATAAAAGACTAAAAAATATATATACTTTAGCCTTTAAAAAATAATGTTAGACATGATGCTTTCAAACCATCACGTATTCTTCAGAGAATAAATGACGAGCCTATATGTGACTGTCATCAATAATCATGTACACGTAAAAATTAACTGACACATATTGACAATTTGTGTAGTGTCAATTGGTTTTCACTTTAGTGTTTTCTATGCTTTTTTTTAAAGAATAATGTTAGACATGGTATCCATATGTTTCTAAGTGCCACTACTCAAGTTCATTAAACTGAAAAGAAAGAAACAAATGGGGAACTCAAAATTCATAGCCAGACTCACCCCTTCTGCGGTAATATTTACACAAGAATGCATACAAAACCCAGCTTACCGCACTTAAGGTGGCCAATAGCAAATAGTAATTGTCTAGGCTTGCCTCGTTCATATCATCAGAGAACCAACTTGAGTTTTCCTTTTGAGCTTGTCAATACTTCCACCACACTAATGAGTAGAGCACTGACAAAGCTTCCCACCCCAAACACATTTGTATATAATGCAATCCCCAACATTTTCTTATTCTCTGGAACTTCACTGTAAAAAAACTCTTGCGTTGCCACCACAGTAAAAATGTCTGAGATTCCCAGCAAAACATACTGTGGTATCAACCAGAATATGCTCAAATTCACAATTTCTAACTTTGATCCTGCTTCTCTCATTTCCCTTCCAATCTTTAGCCTTTTCGCTTCTACCGTAGCTGCAATCACCATGGCTACCACTAAGAGAGCCATTCCAATTCCCATTCTTTGAGTTACACTTGTCCCTTGTCCTGATGAGTGATTAACTGAGACATTGGTATGAAGATTTTGCCATATAGTGGCATTAGCAGTATTATGGATAGTGTAATGGCACTTTGCAGTGTGGCTGGAGGGATCTTGAAATTTTTGATGATGTTTCTCTCATTGTCATTCCTTGTTTTGTGAAAAAAGTCGGAGGTTGTTGGAATATTACTGCAAACACAAGAAGCATTGTCCATATAGGGATTAGCCTTAGCACAACAACCTTGGAGTTTGCTACCATAACTGTGCTGCTTTTAGAATTCTCATTCAACTCCTTTAGGTTTTCCATGTTATCATGACATAGAGGTTTTTCTTGAAGCCTATTTCACCCAAAAGAAAAAACACAACCCTTTAATTTAACAGTAAACTAACTGTATGCGAACAAAATTTTTAAAGGAGAAAAGGTAACTTACTTACTCCATCTCCTTTATTCTGGCTCCTCTTTTGGCAGAGAAATCTTAGAACGGAAACACTTCAATGCATAAGCTTTGATAGATTGAACTTGTTGTTTAAAGGGCTTCTTTGTCTTATTACTATCTTTATATACATATATGGGGCTTCCACATAAGAACACCAACATAGACACGGCCATTGACATTGCAGGAATTAGACTTCCACTGCAAACGCCAAAAATACCAACCTGAAAGAACACAGTCTTCTTATTGGGCTGTTATCTTCTTGCTATGAGGCAATTCTTCATCTTCTTCAAGTTGATTTGCTCCAAAGGCTTGTAAAGATGGGTTGTGCCCACCTTGGCCTAGTGAGATCAGAAAAGAGATGAAGAGGAGAAATGAAGAAGACAGTTTTTTTGCTTCCCGCAGACCTTGACCTTACCACTGTTGTGGATGCCAATGCCGTAAGTCCCTGACCAGAGCAAATAAACAAACACAGCCGCAAGCACACAATTATTTCACCATATCTAGAGAAGACAAATCCAAGTCAACAGAAAAAAAAATATTTTAGGAAATTGCTTCTTGAAGAGGTTGAGGAAGTTGTCAGACCAAAAAGAAAACTATTAGTACTTGATTTTTTCACGTTTCCTTGAACAGTTTTTTTAATCATGATAATTGGGTTTACTTCTGTTTGATGTCGTTTTGTTATGCTGTTGTGTGCCAGAAAATCTGCAAACAAGTTTGCTTCATTATATGATTAATTATATTATGGGAAAAAGGGACATCAATAAGTGTAAATGAAACAGTAGAAAGAAACCACTGATTAAAATCATTGAAAATTTTAAGAAAAATGGGTCACAAAATGGACTGAGATAATGACATGGCAACAAGCTTAATTAAGAAGGGGCATCTTGAATCGTTCTAAACGTCCAATACCGCTTTTATGTAACTTTTGGCAGCTAAAAACCCTATAATCAGTCCACTAACTCAATAAATGGACAAGAGGAGAGACTAATTGTGACTCTATGACTCATAGTTCCATTAACTCAACACATCCCCTTTCAAAAAAACTATTACATCTAGTCCTTAATATAAAAGCTAGTAACTAATCTGAAGAATTAAAAAAGGTAGTTAAGTTAGTTATTTGTAACAAATATGCATGTTTTCTTTTCTAAACTATCCTATTTAATCATGTGTGTGGCATTATCCCTCTATGAGAACCCTTTACAATCAATAGGGATATTTAAAAGAAAAATTATAAATTGGAAGATAATATGGATTGCGGTAGCCTTAAATTTAGGACCAATTCAATCCTCTAGCTAACTATTATATTAAATACCAGAGATAGTATTAGGAAGCCCATG